CTGTCGCCCCCGATTCGCGGGCGCGCTTCGCCTTCGGCCCGTGGCAGTGGCCGCCGTCGCCGTCGGGGAGAGCACCGCCTCCGCCCGCCTCGACGCGGCCGGCCCCGCCGCCGCGCCCATGGACACCATGTTGAGCTTTCTGGAGCCGCTGGTGTTGGCGGGAGGTGATGGCAGTGCGGGCCGGGGCGCCACCCCTCCCCACCTTGGGTTAATGGTGCCCGTCTTCGGCGGGCACCTCGCCGCGTATCATTCCCGCCGGATTCCCGCGGCGCGTTCGAGTGGGGCGCGTTTTCGGTGGCACTCGCGTTCTTCCTTCTGCTTCTCCTTTCTTATCATCCTCCTCCTCTTCCTTATGCTCCCGTCCTTCTTCCTGTCCTTCCTCTTCATCCTCCTATCCTCGTCCTTTATTCCTACTCCTCTTTGTTTCATCCTCCTCCTCCTCCTTCTCTTCCTCCGTGCTCGCGGCGGTGGTGGCTGCGGCAGCGACGTCCGATCCTGGGGGCGCGACGCCGTGCTCCTATCTCCGAGGAGCAAACGCGGCATAAACAGACATGTTTGCCAGCGCGCACCCCAAGCATAGCGTTTCTAGCACTATGCTGCGCATGTTTTCCGGCACTGGAATGGCGCAATCTACGCGGTAGATTTCACCCATGTTCGCAGTGAGTTGTCGATTCCACTGCTGGGGAAGTCACCCCGCCCACCCGCCCGCGTTCGCGGCTGCGGCCGCGGCCGCGCTAGCGCGCGGCCGCGCTAGCGCGCGCAGGCTCGCGCGCGCAGCGGCCAGCTAGAGCGGCGCGACCGACGCGGCCGCGGTGGAGCTGACCGCTGGGCGTTTCCCAGCGGGCACTTCAGTGGGAGTCGGTGATTCGGGCGGGCGCGGTATTATGGCGACGCCGACAATGGTAGACGGGATGATGCTAATAGCGATTATGTTGCGATGGCGGCGACGACGACGGCGCGGCCGATGACGGCGTCGATGTTGATCACGCCCGCCGATAACGATGGCGATGTCCTCGCGTAGGCGATGAAGGTTCTGAATGAGTTCGACGTGCGCGCGCGGCCGACGCGCGCGAGTGGCCCGCGCGGCGTTATTTGACGCGGATCGCGCCCCCCCCCCCCGCGCGCGCGAAATCGTTTGGATGGGTTGGACATGCGGCGCGAGAGGCTCGCTTGGCAGAATCTGGTGGCGGCGTTGAACACATATGTTTTTGTCCTGCAGAGTCCGCAAGCGCGCGGGCATGCATTGAAAACTGATGTTGCAAACCCATGTGCTTTAAGTTGTTTCCGGGACATTGATGTTTGAACTCCTTGCGGAACGCATGGTTTTTGAAATATTTCAGCATGCGCGCGCAGCGATGCGCGCGAGGGCTATCTGGCGATTTCGACAGGCGCGCGCGAGAGGCCCGTTTGGTAGCATTTGGTGACACTGTGAGAAAACCTATGGTGTTCCTAAGAATTCTGCAAGGGCGCGAGCGCAGTTCTTTGCGTTTAGGAAATCCTTCGCTTCGTCCCATTCGTTGCAGAGGGTTTTCGGCAACCGATAATTCCTTTTTTGGGCGAGCGCGCGCAGGGCGAGGGGGTGCGCAGTTTTAGCTGGGGCGATATGAATGCTGAATCAAGATTGGCGATGAGGCAGAATCGCACGCAAGTTGCACATCGATCCTAATGTTATTCTAGAAAGAATTCACCCTGCCGAACTAGAAGTTGCCAACTCTACTGTTCGCGCAATCATCCCGCCCGCCCGCCCGCAAAGTGGCTGCAAAACCAACGACTCGGCGATTGCGATGACTGTGCGGCGCTGGCTGGCGCGCCGCTGCGGCCGTGCAAGCGCGCGGGCTCGCGCGCGCTGCTGCCAGATAGGCTGGCGCGACCGACGCGGCCGCGGCGGCGCTGACCCGCGGGGGGCCCCCAGCGCATCTCGCAAGCCGCACTGACGCGCGGGCGCTTCAGCGCGAGCCCGAGGCGCGGGCGGGCGCGGCATCGCGGCGACGCCCGCAGTGTTTGACGCGATGATGATAGTTGCGACGTTTGTGACGACGATGACGATGGCGACGGCAAGGCCGATGACGGCGCCGATGCGGTTCGCGCCAGCGACGATGACGGTGCCAATATGCCGGCGACGAAGGCATAGGAAGGATTCCGACATGCGCGCGCGGCTGCTTGGCACGAGTGGTCCGCATGGTATTATTCGAGAGGGATCGTGCCCCCTTTCCGCCGGGCGAGCGCCCGAGGGCGCTCGAACGATTCCGACGCGCGCGCGGGGGGGCTGGCTGGTCGCATTTCACGACCGCGTTCAAAAAGAAGCGGTGGTTTACATGGGGAGTCGCAAGCTCGCGCGCGCGTTTTTTGTTTGTGTTGAAAACAACTGGCGTTCTGCAATCATGAATGTTTTATCTGTTCGGGAAACTCGGTTTTCCCATCCTTATGGGGCGTGCGAGTTACTGGGGGATGTGCATGCGTCGCGCGCGTGGACTCCTTGCGTTTTGCATGGACTTTTGGTAATTTGAAAGGTCTATGTATTCGCGCGCACTTCAGATGCCGGTTAGGCATGGGTGAAATTGCTCAAGTGCAAAATAAAGGAAAGGGCAGAACCAGAAGCAATTCGTCACATCGCAAGGGGAGCCGCGAATTTTCCGGGGGGTAGACCCGCATGTTCGAACAAGGTGAACCTCCTCGGCGCAATCTGCGCGGCGCAGTTCGCCCTGCCGACCTTGAAGCTGCCGACTCGACTGCTCGCGCAAACATCCCGCGCGCCCGCCCGCAACGTGGCTTGCAAAACCAACGAATCGGCGATTGCGACGACTGCGAGGCGCTGGCTGGCGCGTCGCTGCGGCCGCGCCAACGCGCGCAGGCGCGCGCAGCGGCCGGCTAGTTCGGGCGCGACCGACGCGGCCGCGGTGGCGCTGACCGTGGGGGACCCCCGGAACGTCTCGCAAGCCGCACTGACGTGCCGGCACTTCGCTGCGAGCCGGCGGCTATGACGGGCGCGGTCATGGCGACGTTGACCGGTCACCTCGCTGATAATTGCGATGTTGGTGACGAAGATGTCGATGGCGACGGCAAGGTCACTGACGGCGCCGATGCTGATCATGCCCGCCGATAACGATAACGATGTGCTCGCGTCGGTGCTGAAGGTTTTGGAAAGAGTTCGACATGCGCGCTCGACCGATGTGCGCGCGTGGCCCGCATGGTGTTGTTTGAGAAAGGGATCGTACCCCCCTCCAGCAAACGCTCAAAGGCGTTCGAATGATGTCGACGCGCACGCGGGAGGCCCGTGTGGTCGCAGCTGCTGAATATATATATATATATATATATATATATATATATATATATATATACACACATATATATATACACATATATATATACATACATATATATACATACATATGGAAGATTTTTTGTTCTGCAACATTCGCAAGCGCGCTCGCGCGAGGTTTTTTTGGGGGAAAACGTACGTTGCGCATTTGGTTTTTGTTGTTGCATGGTTTCGGGACGTTCGAGTTTGAAATTCGTACGATGTTTGTGTTCTTGGGTACAAGATAGAGATGCGCGCGACGTCGTGCGCGTGGAGACTTTGTCTGGTATTCTGCAGAAGGGTTCTTAACATCAAATGGTTTGTTCTAAACAAGTGCGCGCGCATAGCACCATTTGGCGGGGATGAGGGGGGACAGATATTGGTGTGGGTTGGGGTGGTATGAATTCGTTTTCAAAATGAACCATTGGGCTGGATTTAATGTCGCCTGTATTCTCCCAGAAAGGTAGCCGATGAGACCGGGGGGTGGGCGTGGCAGATCCGATGTTTTTGCAACGAGAGTCTATGTGATGCAATCTATTTTGTGCGACAAGACGGCGACGGGGCGGTGACGGCGACCACGGAACCGCCAGACCGATAAGAACCCCTAAGTGCAAACATTGTTTTGGGAGCTTTCGGGGCTCCGCGCGGACCTCTTCCAGGGCCGCGTGGGAGTTTCGGGCACCCGTCTCGGAACGGTCTTTCGAGGAAGAGAGACCAGCATAAACACGATGTGTTGGAGCTCTGCGCAGTCCGTCGTTTTCTTTACGTTGCTTTGCCCATTGGCGCGGGCCCTCGTACCCCTCCCCCCCATGGAATAGATTTTGGCTGCTTCTGGCGCGTGTTTCAAGTCTGTGGAATCTCATCCTCCCCCATAGCACGCACTACTGCAAACAGTCTCATTAAGCGAAGGTCCGGAGCAAACCCCCCCCTCCGCCCAATGTCGAAACGCCGCATCAAAAAATGTTAGCTATCCGGGATAATTTGGGAGCAAAAACACGCACGAAACCGAAGAAGGTGCACGAGGAATGGACGTCCGAGCGATGGCGAGTGCTCAGCGTTCCTGATGGCAGGTTGGACGAGGCGTCTTGCAGTGCACCGGCGACAGCCGAGGTCAGCCATACGTGTCGAGGGCCTTGCCCTCGAGGTCCCCGCGACCAGCGCCGATGCAGCCAGGAAAGCCGCGCGGACCTCCGAAAATGGATGCCCATGCCGCGGCAGGTGTGCTCGCGCGGGCGCGGGGGCAACCGCGCATCGCGGGGCGCGATGCGCGAAGTTCTGTGGCCCAGGTCTATCCGATAGCAAATCGTGGGGGCCTTGTATACCTCGAAGAGGAAAAAGCGACGTAAACATAGATTGTTGGCGCTCCGCGCGGATTTCTTTGATCGGCGTTGGGGCCCCCTGGCGGCGCCTCCAGCGCCGCCCTTGGCGCGCTCCGTGCGCCAGGGAGAGGGGTCCAGCGCAGATCCAAGCAATCCGCGCGGAGCGCAAAATGCTTATGTGTATGTATGCCCCTTGTTATTCTGCTACTGTGCATCTTTAGGGTGCACTGGCGTCGATCGGTAACGACTCGCAAGAGCCAGCAGTATGTTGTGGGAGGGTCCCATGAGTTGCCACCGAAGGTTTGCCGCCACGCACCCAGGGACGGCGTGTGCGAGATCGTTCGGGCTCCTCGGTGTGGTTGTGGTTTGGCTGCTCCCTTCAGGACTACACACTTTATTGGATGATGGGCGACGACGTCGAGTCCATTCAGTCCTTCATCAGAGATCGCATCACCCTCATGCACACTTTCCCGCACTGGCACGCTCTCCAGCAGTTCACGAACGGGCAGATCAGGAGACCACGCTTAGGGGCGTAGAGAGGGACCCAGAGAGAGAGGGAGTGAGGGAGGGAGAGAGAGAGAGAGGGAGTGAGGGAGGGAGAGAGAGAGAGCGAGAGAGAAACAAAGAGAGAGAGAGAGGAATCCATACATATAGAGAGAGAGGGAAAGAGAGAGAGAGAGAGATGCAGAGAGAGTGAGGGAGTGATAAAGCGAACGGTACATTATGGATGAATGTGCATATATATATATATATATACACTGATATGCGCATATACGCATAGACATAGAGTTAGATAAAGCAACACAACATGAATATTCGGAGAGATAGAGAACGAGAGAGAGAGAGAGAGCGAGAAACAGATCACGAGAAACAGAGAGGGAGAGCGATACGTAAATATATATACACATATATAGAGAGAGACCGAGAACGAGAGAGAGAGAGAGAGGACATGCGGAGAAAGGGGAGGAAGAAGGGCGAACGAGGGACGACAGAGGGAGGGTTGAGGGACGATATAGACGGAGAGGGAGGAGAAAAAGGAGATGTACGGCGAGGGAGTGCGGGCTCGGGAACGACGGAGGGCGGAGATGGAGGCGGAGGCGATGAGAGGAGGAGGAAGCAGAGGAGGAGGATAATGCCTTTTTGGCTGCCTCCTAGCCAAGCAACAGCGCCATCGCGATCATCCCACACTTGCCAAAGGACGCGGCGCGGCGTCAAAGTACAAGCGCGTTTCCGTCATTATCCACCCCTACTCTTCCTCTTTTTTCCTCGTAGCCCTTGCTCTCTTCTCACTTACTCCGACCCGCCCTCCTTCCATACATCCCCACCCATCAGAATTATCCTGGCCCTCCTCCTGGTCCTCTTGCTCCTGTTCCTCCGCTACCCTTGTGCTTTTGCTATGGTTATGTATCCGTGCCCGTCCTCCTCCCTTCCTCCATCCTCCCTCCTTCCCTCCCTCCTCCCTCCCTCCCTCCGCACCCGTCCTCC